TGTCTAGTGGCCTTGTGGGCGTAGAGGCGCAGTTATTGCGGGGATTTAGGTGAGCTGCAGTCCACGTTATGAGTCCGCAGCACGCACAAAGTCTCCATCCGAGTTATTTGTACGCTCCTGTCTAATTGTATCCCACACAGATGTTGTATTTTACTGTATTTTCTCTAGTTGATGTTCATACACTCGTGACACCGGGTTCTGGGGATGCTTATGGATTGTTCAGTATTGTAGTTGTGAAAATATTGCCATTTACTTTGTAAATTTTATCTCTTACTATTTAATTGAAGGAAATTATGATTTCAAAAATACTAAAATGAGTAGTGGAGTTAATCATTTAATTGTTGGCTTTTCTGATAGCAGTGTTAGGCGCCATCACGACCTTTAATGTATTTGGGATCGTGACAGATTGTACCTTATGAATCAAGGTAACAGTGGTGCAGTTAATAGCATTATACATCCATGTGGTCTGAAAAATGTGGAACGCAGCATCTGAAACATCATCTCCAATAATAGACCATGCTTTCTTGAATAAGCATGCATTAAATCCATCACATCCTGGGGACTTCAGATCAGATATATCTTTCAAGGTTAGGTAGAGTTCTTCTCTTGTGACTGGAGCTATGAGGGGCAGTTGTGTAACGACCCGACTGGTCGTTTTGAGCAATTTCATCCGTCTCGGTAGTTTGAGGTTACGAGTATCTTCACACAGTGTATTGACTTACGTGCATTGTCGGTTCGGGTTTTTGAGAGATTCAAAAAGGTTTTTTAGGAATGACTCTCATTTGAGAAGCTCGAAGTTGAAGGAATTGACCAAGGTTAACTTTTGAGTATTTGACCTCGGATCAGAGTTCCGATGGTTCTGGTAGGTCCGGAAGGTGATTTTAGACTTTGGCGTATGCCTGAAATTTCATTTGGATATTTCTAAAAGGTTTCGGCATCATTTGGCGGAAGTTGGCAATTTAAAGGTTTAGAATTTTCCTAAGTTTGACCATGGTTTGACTTTAAGGCTATCGGGTCCAGATTGTGGTTTCAGAACTTGGAATAAGTCTGTTTCGTCATTTGGTACTTGCCTGCAAAATTTGGTATCATTTGGAGTTGATTTGATATGGTTCGGACGTTCGGTTGCGATTCTAGAAGTTCTTGAAGTTCAAGGTGATTTTCATGTGCTTTGGCGTCTGATTCGTGATTTTAGAGGTTATTTTGTTGTCCCGATCATGCGAGCGAGTTCGTGTTATGTTTTCAGACTCGTGAGGATGTTTGGTTTAGAGCCCCAAGGGTTCGGATGAGTTTTGTACGCGTTTCGGAGTATTGGAAGAAGGTTCAGCTGTGCTGGTGTTTCTGTTCTTTCATTTGCGATATCCGCATTTGCGACGATGGGCTGGGCCAGGAGAGTTCGCATTTGCGAACCATTTCACTGCATTTGCGATTAGGCAGCTCCGCATTTGCGACACAATCAGTCGCTTTTGCGAAAACAGTGAGCTCGCATTTGCGAGTCTTATGTCGCATTTGCGACTTTGACAGAGCTGGCCAGCCTTTGCATTTGCAATACTTTTGTCGCATTTGCGAGCATCGCATTTGCAATCCTGAAGTCGCAAATGCGACATCTGAGGTGGTATTAAGATTTCCATTTCGGGACTTAGCTTCATTTTATCATATTTGGAACCCTAGGTCCGAGAGTGGGCGACTTTGAGAGAGGAATTTCATCTACAATCATTGGGTAAGTACCTCTAATAAATTTTCTATCATATTTTGTGATTATACCTTAGGTTTAACGTCAAATTCATGAGAATCTAAAGGAAAATTTGGGAAAAATTGTAAAATCTTTCAAAATGTAAAATGATGATTTGAAGGACGAATTGGTATCAGAACTTGATAATTTTGGTATGGTTGAACTCATATCGGAATGGGTATTCGGATTTTATAAATTTTATCGGGTTCCGAGGTACGGGCTCGGGGAGTTGACTTTTGTTGACGTTTTGCAAATTGTATAAAGACCATAGCTTTGTTAATTGAAGTTGTTTTCTCTTGCATTGTTTGATGTATTTAAGTCGCCTTTGGCTAGATTGAGCCGAGCGGAGGTGAATTTGTAAAGGAAAAGATAATTTGAGTATTGATTTGGCCGAATTTAGGTTAGTGTCTTGCCTAACTTTGTGTGGAGGAAACTACCCCTTAAGAACCGAGTAAATTATACTATCTTGTTATGTGAAAGCCGTATACGCAAGGTGACGAGTGGGTACCCGGTTTATATGTGGTATTTGACCCGTTTAGATTGTCTAGTGTCTTTCCATGCCTATAATCGAATTGTCATAACATGTGGTATCTCATTGTTAGTCTATTCTTACATCCCTTATTTGACGCTGCTAGCACCTACTGTACTCCTTACTCGTTATTTGGCCTTATATGTCGTAGTTGGAGTTATTGCCTTCCTTATTGTCTTATTACCGCTTAATTGTTGAATTGTTCTATGTCTTGCACTTATCTGCTACTTGTCTTAATTGTTATGATTGCATACTTAGTCACCACGTACCTTGTCTGCCTTGTCATTTTTGTAAAGTTGTTGTGTTCCTTCGGGTTTTATATGGTTTCTTTGTAGTTGTGTACTGATACCCTTGATTATAGAAATTCTTATAAATGAAGTCATTGAATGGTTGTTGCTGTTTTAAATTATTATAAGGGGGATCGGGTTGCACGCCGCAACAGGTGAAATAAGGGAGGCGGTGAAATAAGAAAGGATATTTATATTGTGATATTGCTATTATATGGTTGGATAGGGTTGCACGCCGCAACAGGTGAGATAAGGGTGGACTGTTATAAGGAAATAAGGGTGAATTATGATACTGATATTATATGGTGGGATCGGGTTGCGCGCCACAACATATTTTTTTTATTGGCATGATATTGATATTGTACGGTGGGATCGGGTTGCACACCGCAACAGGTGAAATAAGGGTGAATTGATATGGTGGAATAAGGGTGAATTATGATATTGATATTATATGGTGGGATCGGGTTGCACGCCACAACATACTTTGTGTTTTGTATTCCCTATTTTGTTGCATTGGTTTCGGTTCTTTCGTACGAGATTCTGAGGATTTGTATTCCCGATTCTTTACTATTTTCCAAGGATTGAGTTATTGTCGTTGACTTACCGCCTTGCCGTCATTTTTCGAGTTCTTTTTCTTAATACTATTATTATGGTAAATCGATTTTCTAGGTGAATTTATTACGTTGAGTCATTGCCTCCTGTCCTGCTGAGTTGTTAGTAATATAGTAACTTTAGATAAATAAAAGAATTAATATCATGCTGCCTTGTATGACTTTTAAGTTAAAACCCGTCGTTTATTTCGATACTTACCATGTCTACTAGTTGTCATATTTTACTTCAATTGATTTCTCAACTTAATCTCCTTTGTTAATTACTTAAAAAGGAATTGTTATTATATTATAATTTAATAAATTCTATATTTAATTCAGTTGCTTATCCGGTGTTGTATTTATTGAAAGAGGTTATTTTCATTAACCAGATGATTTCCAAAATAAACTCATTTTCTCATTGATTTCCTACTTAGTTCAGAAGTTGTAGTTTACTTTTCGCTATATATACATAAAGTCTTTTGAACATCCTAATTAGCATTTATCATGAATAATATGTACTAAGTAGCACGTGAATTTTACCGTACAAGGTGAGATGGAAAGATGTGGGCACAAGGTGCCGTATGTGTTAAAGGTTTGAAAGATGAGATCTGTGGTATGAAATTACGAGAATTGGGATTATTGGAGTCGTGCATTAGGAACGATTTGATTGGTTGAGTTGACATCATTTTCTCTACTTGAGTACATTTACCCTTGTCTGTATCCCAAATATATTGTTGTCTAATTACCTGGTTATTTCTCTTTGCCAGTCGTGTTTCCCTTATCGTTATTACTGTTTGTAATCTGAGTTCTGTTGCTATTGACATTTCTTTAATATTTCTTTTTTGTTAGCTTTATGTTATATCCTGCACATGTTTAGATGTTTAGTGAGTGTCTTGACCTGTCCTCGTCACTACTCTACCGAGGTTAGGCTTGATACTTACTGGATACCACTGTGGTGTACTCATGCTATGCTTCTATATATTTTTGTGCAGAGTCAGGTACTTCGGATCAAGTAAGTTTTGACAATCATACTTGGTGTGGCTGGAGACTTCAAGGTACACCTGCCGGGCGTTCACAGGCTCCGAAGTCACCCTCCAATGTATTTATTTCCATTGTTTCTTCTATTCCGGAACAATGATTTATCCATTATGTAAAATTTCTCCTAGAAAGGCTTATGACTTGTACTACCGATTTTGAAAAATTGTAAATTTTATAGAGGATTCCATTTCTAAAGTTGTCAGATGTTATTTATTATTGTATTCGATAAATGTTAGGCTTACCTAGTCCCTAATACTAGGTGCCATCACGATACCCAACAGAGGGGAAATTGGGTCGTGACAAGTTGTTGTTCTCTATTCAGGATGGGCCAACAACTAGAATACTAGGAAATTGCAGGTAGTTGTGTAGCACAAATGCCTAGGAGTCCCTTGTAAAATCCAATGATCTATGTTTCAATTGCCCTGTCAGTCTGTACCACATCTCCACTAGTAGTGATTAGCCTGTTAATGTGATTCTGGGAAATCCTATTCTTGAGATAACATGGAAAAAGATGAGTTGGTGTCTCCTAGACTCAACCATTGAACTCTAGATTGTTGTCTCAGAATACTTTCCTTTATTAGGATCAATTTCTCTAAGTTAAGTTTAAACTCTTTCGCTATAGCATATAAAGTGGGATCAATGTAGCCGGTTCATAGCTTCTCTTGAATATCACATGGATCTTTCCTGATATTTTACATCTTCTGCTCGACCTTACATAACCTATGTTCATTTAAAGCTTTCATCCCTTCCTTTATTAGTTTGAGTTTGTGCCAGACGTGTTACGTATACTCCCCTTGCACAGTACGATTCCACACAGTAAAGACAGTATTAAGAAATTCCATATGAACGGTCAAGTGATTCAAGAACCTGAAGGGTCTTGTCACCTTTCTTGGGTTCCTACTGAATGTAATGTAAAACATGGAATAGTCAGAAAAATAATGATCTTTAGCTTCAACTAGAAGCTGGGCCATAGAGACATTCAAGAAGGATTGACCAGGGCTCTATCAATCCTGCTGTGAATGTGTGAATTAGTCCAGGTATAGAATCTTCCCATTGTTTTCATCACTGTCAGACCAATTGACCCCGAGAACTCCTCAAAGTCTTTCACCGCTATATCGTGTATTGCACTTTCTCCCATTCTATCATCAAGTTGAAGTATTGCATTGAAATCTCCCATAATGAGCCACAGGCTCTGAATATTGGACTCTATTCCTATCAGATCCTGCCAAAGGTGTTTCCTATCAGCAATTGTGTGAAGGCCATATATTGCAGTGAATAAAACTAAATAAATCAGTATGCACTTCTAATAGCACAGTAAATGAACTAAGAGCTTGTACAAAATATTGTAACATCAACCAGCCTGTGATCCCATAAAAGCTAGATCCTTCCTCGCCCATTAATATCATAGTTATCATGCCAACTCTAGGTAGGAAAACCATTCTTTATTTATAATCCTTAAGGCATTTTGTTCAATGACTCTATGTTCCGTAATAAGTAAAACTACTATTTTCTCTTTATTTACTATCTTCTTCATCTCCTTGTTCTTAAAAAACTAATTGAAAACCCTAACTTTCTATGTAGCAATAATCTTTGGTGATTGTTGTAGGGGTCATGAGGCTTTCCTTCTTGGCTAGAGGTGCATCTTGTGTCCACCGTTCTTAGGGCTGCTTGCAATACCTGTTGAAATGAGATTCCTCTTATAGGGGTGAAACCATTCTCAACATCCACAAGATATTGACTACTTTCATAGAATACCCGAGGCCTTGCAACTGTTTTCCCTTTTTTCTTTTGTCCACCCATCTTTTCTATTTTCAGGATCACCCTCCACCTCCTCTGGTGGCACCTCAGGTATTGGTGGTGTTGGGGCATCCTTACTTTACCAAATTTTCTTAGTATTCCTTGACTCAACTTTAGCTTTCTTAGGTTGGGGCGTTGCTTGCTCGGCTTGACAGATATGTCCAAGTTGGCATCATACTCGGCATTACAGGGGCCACCATTCATATATGACCTCACGGTCATATGGCTTGCCAAATGAATTCAACAACTTGACAGTTTTAGGTAATGGGACAATAATGTCCATTTCAATAAGTACTCGAGCATACAAAATCCTCTCTTTGCGAGAGGTGCATTCATCAGCACATAGAGGGGTGCCTAATACACTAGCTAGCCTACTAAGAGAGCTAGGACTCCAGCAACTCAGGGGTAAGTTAGGAAACGTTACCCAAAGGGGAATTGTTTTTAGTATCTCCTCACTAAAATTAAAATTGACACTCCAGGGCTTAACAATCATTGGTTTACTATTTAGCACATAAGATCCAAACATCAAGACATCATCTCTATCACCAAAACTATAGAATTGTATCACAAAATAACCATCGTTATGGTAGTATATGTAAGGTTTATGCTGAAACGTCCACTAGCTCCTTAGGAATCTGGTGATTGCCCCAATAGTTGGAGAATCCCCTACCACATAGAGGATCACTGCGTATTCCCAATTTTCAGCTTCCTTTTCGACCTCAACTTCATCAAATAGAACCATTTTAACACGTCTTTTTCTCTTCCGTAGGCGGTGGTGGCTGCTTTGCAAGCTCAGATTTCTGTGGACTAGCAACCAATTTTGGCGGAGAATTGAGTTTCCCAGCGGGTGGGGCTGTTTGCACCTTAGTCACTCCGCTTTGATTCACCACGTTAGGGTTTCCCTTTTTTTCTTTATTTAAATCCTACCTTGTATTATTATTAAACAAGATTACATAGGATGGGGACCACAAACTTTACCTCCGATAATACAAGCAAAAAAGGAATACAAGAATGGGGTGTGAACAAACAGGGGGTTTCCCCTTGAAGCCTAACATTAGGCGGAGTAAGAATCACACCTAGTCGCGCCATTTTCGCCTGAGCTTTGAGTATAACATGCGGAGCAGTAGCAGTGACAATTGAACCGGAGCCAGTGCCGTGTTCTATACTTCTGTGGCCGGCCTTTCGCCATGCCAACATCAGTGGTGTACGTTGGTTGCACCACTAACGTGTGCCTATATAGAGAGATGATATCATGTTATCATGCCTAGAGAAAAATCTTTTGGTACACGAGAGAAAAAAGTCCCTCAACCATTAAGAAATTTAAACTACCCTCGCAGTCATATCTTAATGAAAAAATATGTATAGTGCATTTATATCATATAAGTGGGATTTTAGGAGGAGGGCTATCTAATCTGTTAACGGGCTAATTAGCATCCCTATAAACCCTATTTGCACGTTTTAACTTTTTAACGATGGGAATTCAGTTAAATTCCCTTCCCTCTACTTTCTTCCCATTGAGTTTCAGATAACAAATGATTATAAGAGAAAAACTGATGTTTTGGTAGGAATTCTTAGAGTTGAATACTAACATCTTTTCGTGTACAAAATACGGAAGAAACATTTCCTTTGTTTGCAAATCCAACTCATTAAAATTTCTACATCCAGCTTCATCATAAATCTAGTTTGATCCTGAAATTGTAAAAGTACAAAGTTAGTTGTGCAACTATACCATAAAAAGAAATAACACGATTTAAGATATGAATATAACACGATTTATAATTTGTTAGTATTCAATAGAATAGTTGAGTTTCTGGCAAGCTAGTTTGATAATGTATGTGTATGTGGAAAGTGACAGATAAAGTGTTTATACTATGGTTCAACCGAACCCCATAATTTTTATATCGAACATAATATATATATATTGAAAAATTACTAAATTTTTTGTAAATAACAAATTCTAAAACCCATAATTTTAGTAGTATAATAAATTTATTGTTAAAAACGTCAAAGGATGAATCCATCGATTTTAAATTTTAGATCCGCCTGTTAGCATAGAAAAAAAAGGAGAGAATGATTAATTACTTGGGGAACCAAGAGGAGGTGATTTGACATGAATTAGAAGAACTGTCTGGCCTTTGGCTAAAAGATGATCAATTTTCCATTTCAGAGCAATTTGGCTTCCTCTATCTTTGTCTATTGCCACAGCTATCAATTTATTTGGTGAAGGCATTCTTTCTCCCAAAGGTGTCAGTTTAGCCTATTTGATCCATAGTTGAATTCACTATAAAGAATAAAGAGGAATTTTTGTCATCAAGATATAAAGAATTTGTGGGGAGCTCCACCTTTGGTGGGTATATTTGGTTGCTCTACCCTTGCTTTCGGTAATAGTAAGATTTCACACTTGTACATGTCCCTTTCAATATCACGAAAAGCATCCCTATTAATTAGGTAAACGTAGGTTAACACTAGAATTGTTATGCCAATTTGGTTGTTCGAAAGACTGTCTCTTTACCTCTTGCATCCTCGTCTCTTTGAATGCCCAAAATCATTCTTCTAGATCTGCATTAGTCCTATTTAAGGTGCAAAACCTCTTTAATAAAGACTTCTTTTTTCTTTCCCTCTCATTTCTCATTTTGTTGAAAAACCTATTACGAGTAAGCGGAGAGGAAAGATCTCCAGAGATTCTTGTCTCATTCCATTCCAGTGGCTCAACCAAGTAACCAATGGCGAAAACTTAAATATTCATGGTTTCCTAGTAAAATCCTATTTTGATCCGCCCGAAAAGGACTTACAGTGATCTTGAATAAAGATTTTACAATAATAAATAGAATTCCCATAAAAATAGCACTAGATATATGTATCGAGCACATGTGATTTCGTATTCGATCAAAATCTTGGCTAATTGATCGAAGTGGGTAGCTCTAGATTCATCTCAAAGGAAGGTGCCTTAATAACTTTCAATAAATGTCTCTTTTTCCAAACCGCTAGACCAATTTAATAACTGATACAACCGAATTGGTTGAGGAAGAGAAAACCCCATCGACCAAGCACTTCCATATCATTCCCAAAAGCGGAGATTGAAGAACTGACAGGTTGTGAGGACACGTCTAAAGAGGAGGCAGACACCATCTTTTTCACATACACCGGAAGAAAATGTTACGATAGCAAGCCCCTCTCCGTCTAGAGAGCCTCCAAGACAAGGAGGCGACGATCAATCATCCACTCTCGTATCCAAAAAAACCCTACTATACTGCAGATTTTTCTTATGCTACTTCAGGGAAGTCCTTAAATTTATAGAATTTTAGAGATAACTTTTCGAGAAGGTCTCATACTATTTCACAAACAGATATGTCTGTTCAATTTAGGCCCTTCAAATATTACAAACTAACTTAACATAAATAATCTCCCACCTTGTCATCAGATAACAAAGTAGATTTCGCACCAAAATCAAAGATAGAGACAGCGCGTGGATGTGTATTTCTTTATAGAAAAAAGAAAGATTACAAGGAAAGGGAGATCCATTATACTATAAATTACTTCTAATTTATGAAGACATTCAAAGTTAACTATATATGATATGTAATACAATCCCTCCTTTTATCCCAACCACGAAATGACAAATTTGAAGTCATTATGTGAAGGATTAGGAGTACGAGCAAGAAATATACCAGAATCCTTTATCAACCAAGTGCAATAGATATTATTTTTGAGCAACTTAGGTCTACAAAATGACCTTTTTCGTCTATACCACTCAGTATAAACATGAAAATCATTATGTTTTACACCCCATAGAACTTCACAATGAAAACGAGTTGTACCCCAAGCATTTTCATGAAATGAGAAATCAAATTTTTCACCAACTTTAAGTACACGAACTCCAAGATCATCATCTTCAGATTTACAATGAACATAGAGTAAAGGATTATTTTTAGGAAGGCCACTAATAAAAGTTTCTTTAATTGTTGGATTGATATTGATAGCATTTGTAATATGCACAGTGTTGATGAAGGATAAAATAAGTAATGAAAGTTGCACTTTGGTGTAAGGGTTATAATAATAATAAGCCATTTTGAGAGACTTTAATTTGTTTTTTATGAGAGTGAAAATGAAGTTTGGTTTCCTCACTTTATAAGATATGATATAGAGATTTGACATTAATTGAAGTATTGAGTTTGGATTTATCCAGTCATAAAGAAAGAGTAATCCAATGCTACACTAACAAGTTAAGATTACGTTAATCTGATTTTGTTATTAAAGAAGGGTACTTTCTGACTTTTTGGATTACATTAATCTGCTTTAAGAGTGGCACGTCAGACAAATTTGGCTAATATTTTTAATATGTGTATGCGCAATAATTTTATTTCTTTCGAGATAGAAATGTGGTCCACCTTCTTCTATTACTACGTCTAGGATACTAATAGGAATTCAACCATTAATTATGACAAGAAAAAGTTTGATTCAAAGAGAGAAAAGGAAGGCAATAATTAGATCAAAAATATCATTCGATTTGTCAATCCTCAAAAAAGAAATAAGCAAGGTTTCGTTATTGAGTGACAAATGAAAAATTTATAGAAAGTTACAATCTCCTTCACGTAATAGTGCACCTACACACCTTTATCGATATAGTTTTTTGACCAAAACGTCGAGGGCTAATTATCAACTTTAGACCATCTGAATATATATTTCGTGACATGGTTCATGCATATTTATTGCCAGGCAACATGAGCAATTCTTTAAGCATTTCCACTTCATTTCTATTTCTATCGTCATTGACCATAGAAGTCTTTTTACCATTCTGTATAAATGAGTTATTCTATTTGTACAGATAGGGTAAAAGGACGTATTGGGTAATTTCTGACTTGAAATTTGTATGGGGTAAAATTGGTTAATAATAAATGGTCAAATGATAGCGTGACATGTAGAACCGAATGCAAACAAAAGGCAAGTCCAGAAACGCTTAGTACCAGACACGACACCTGTGATTGACAGTGATGAAATCCCGAAGGTAGCATAGTCAACGGGAGCAGATCGAGTATTTGCCATCAGATGGCATTCAGTGAGAGAATATTCTATCATATTAAATGAACGACCATTGCAATGAATATTTGCATTCATGGTCTGTCGTTCCATATTCATCAATGCCTCCTTTATTATCATTTAAGTGGGGCTTAATCCTAGAATTTTATTTCCCTATGTATAGCTATAAATAGCAGGCTCTGCAGCCATTGTAAGGCACGAAATTCTTAGCAAAACATATGCTGCATTACATTTTCGCTCTCAATTAAACAACTTTATTTGTTTTTTTCATTGATTTCAATTCTGTCCTCGGAGACATTGCGCTCAGAGCCAGACTTGTCATCTTCTTCAATTTCAGTTGCTATGTCTTATTTTTAATCTTATTTCTCTATCATTTTTGGAGCAAATCAGTGCGGTTGTCTATAAGCCACGTAATAAATTTAATTGTACTGTTTTACAGCTAAATAGTTTGGCGCCCACTATGTGGCTTAGACAGTTGCGTAATTGCTTTGATCCTTGCATTTATTACTAACTTGTTTGATTTTTTCCTTAGAAAGAAATAGAAAATGGAAGCTAATGATATCAACATCATACACAATGTTGAGGGACACGAAGATTTGCCTCAACATGAAGACTCAATCAACAACATCCGTAACAAAAGGGACGAAGCAACCCCGGTTTGTGAAGGGCAGTACCCCCGACATGCAGTATTTTAAAAGGCATCGGCGTAAGGCGAGGTATTTTACATATGCCTCAGCGAGGCGTAAGCCCCAGAGGTATTTAGTTTTTAATATTTTATAAAATAATATAATTACAGTAAATATTTATAAATAGGTAAAATTGCATAANGCTACTTAGAAGCAAAAGTAACTTGAGTAGAAAAGAATAAAGTTTTCTACATGGAGGAACAAAAGGGATGATTAACTTGCAATTTGAAATTTGAACTTGCTGCTATGAAGGAGAATGTAGTTCTCTTTGTATTTGTAAAAAAAATTAAATATTCGTTGCTTTTAGGAGATATTAGCAGACTAGCAGACAAGATAAAGAATTTGGAAAGACCATGAATTCGGGCTTCAATCAATAAAAAAGGTTTTGACATTTAAATTTAATATATTTACGTTCCTTTTTAAAACTTTTGAGTAATTACCGAGCTGACTTTTGAGAATTTGGATATTATATGAAGGACTTATTCAACAAATTTTGTTTTAATTTGAAAAAGTCTCTGGGGCTTACGCCTCCCTAAAAAACACGCCTCATACGCCTGGGTATACGCCTCGAACACCCGGGCGTACGCCTCGAATTGCTAGGCATACTCCTCTTGAGACTTTCGCCCCACACTATCGCCTCAGGGTATTTCTGGTGCGCCTCGCCCCAAGGCTTACCCCAAAAATGCCTTTTAAAACACTGTTGGCATGTACGGGAGCCAACTCCCGATGACGCGGAGGAGGAACATATCATGCAAACGGTGAAAATCCTAAGATAGCAGTAGAAAGCCATCATGGGCCCCCTCTCAAGGTAGGATCAGGTCATGACGGAGTTGAAGCAAGCATTGTCAGACGCACATCACAACTTATACCACAGTTATGGACGGGAACGATTGGCCAAACATGAGATCGAATCAGTCCTATTGAAGAAGTTTGGTGAAACCCTCGCAATGGGGCCTCTGACATGGTATTCACTCTTACCCAAGCATTCAATTGAGTCTTTTGAAATGATTGTAGATTCATTCATTAAGGCCCATGCCGGGGCAAGAAAGGTCCAAGCCAAGAAGGCGGGGCATATTCAGGATTGTGCAAGGCGAGTCTGAATTGATGTGCGAATGCTGCTATCGGTTGTACCAGATGAGTGGGCAGCAGAGGCGTTCACAAAGGATTTGAATCCACGAAGCTCTGACGCTTCCGAAAGTAGAAGGAAATCCTGCTCGAATTCCAAGAAACCACATGGGCGGATGTTCATAATCGTTACGAGTAAACAATAAGAATAGAAGATGATCATCTTGGGTTCCCGACATCGACTAAAGGACGGGACCAAGACAAGAACCAAGACAAGTTCAAAAATGACTTCGATGAGGATCGGCGGTCTTTTAAAGGTCATTTCTTACCGTATGAAATAACCGAGGGATGCAACAACAAAGGGTTTCGGTTATCGGACAGGTTCGTTCCCGATAGAAGAATTGACTATGGCCGGAACAGTAGGTCGCTACAAGTAAAAGAGGTATCGGCGGCCCGAAATTCCACATATCCCAGGTT